TTTTAATTGAAAAGTTTGGAAGCAATGGTCGTTGTAAATTTGTAGGAAATTCAAGGTGTAGTCTTTCACTTGAAATATGGTGGAATACAAGACTGGATCCTTTTGTGATTAAGAATGTTACTTATATTAACTGGATCAATTCCTTTATTGGCATATTGACGTTTAAGAAAGTAATTATAAAATGCAAACAAGGTGTTAGAAATTTCTATGATACTTTTACAATTCAGAAATATAAAAGAAAAATCCCAAATTGTGAAATTAAATGGGATAATAAATTAGACCTAGATATTGATGATTTACGGTGGGAAAAAATATTTCTTCAACATAACATATGATATACAGTGAAGATGGTTCTACTATAGAATTGCACATAGAATTTAACCCACGAATGCATTACTATGCAAAATTGGTGTTCCTGACTTACAATCATGTTGTTTTTTTTTTCCAGAGACACAGAGATATTGATATTTTTAAAACAAGAGGCCCAGGAGCCACAGCGCTCACCTGAGCACATCGGCTAGGAAAAAGCACATATCAGATCAGAACTAAAAGTTTACTGAGGTTGGGGGGAAGCTTGAATTTTAACCCCCTAGGGGATCATGATTTGAACAAACTAGAATCTACACTACCTGAAGATGATTCCACATGAGTTTCATCTTTCCTGGTCCTATGGTTCTTGAGAAGAAGATTTTTTTTAAAAATGTCAATAATTTTTCTCTAATTCATTATTATCTCCCCTTGGAAAAAGGCACGGCCCTTCTTTTTAACAGACATGAATTCCCTTTACGCAAGAATACTTTGTGGCAAATTTGGTTGAAATTGGCCCAGTGGTTCTTGAGGAGAAGATGAAAATGTGAAAAAGAACGAGTGCACTTATGGGCCCCGGTAAAATGTGAAAAAATAAACAATCAAATCAAGCAAAATTTTTTTATCTCAAATCATTAATTGATATCTAAACCATACGATTCAACAAATTTTACCGCTGAAATCCACGAATATACAAAGAACAAAACTATACAATGTGGTAGGGGTCAGCCGACATTGGCGATTTTCTATAGTAAATCGAGAACGGTCATTCATTTCAAAGCCTTTGTTAACTATGAGCCTAACGTTGTGCAAACTTGTGCGAATAACAAAAGACGCATATTACATACATAAAACTTGTGTGAAAGTATGAAATTTGCACACGATTAGGCTCGTACTTAAAATATTAAAAATGTATAAAAAGTACAATGTTTTTCCTATAGCAAGTGAGAGCTATTTACCTGTATGACCCATGCTGAACCCACGTGTGGAATAAATTATTTAAAATACTGATAGTCACGTGAGTTCTCCCCAGGTAAACATTCCTCAAATGTGCTCACTGTAAAATATAGGCAGGTTTTGTTTCAGTAAGTCAAAGTCGTGCCGCTTAGAGATGTTTTCATTTATTTGTTTTTAAGAACACGGGAGGGAAAGTGTCGTTCATAAAGTGTCAAACATTTTAACCTTCATGCAAGACAATGAAACAGGTATTGAAAGCCACCTATAACACTCCTTTTTAATTTCAAATTCAATGAAACTATCATTGTAATTTTTCAAATGCAAGAGTACCAATTTCTTAGTTTATTTATTTTAGATACAGGCAATTACACAACTTAATTCCATATTTTTGAAAACGGGTTTGGCGCAAGAAATATTCCGCAAACGCGCCCGACTATGATCCACCATCAGGTTGTTCAAGTATCGATTTAAATATCTATTCTATTGATTTACATCAACGACACTAAAAGAAGGTTCGGTACGACTTTTCCGGATTTATAGGGTATCCATAGGCCTATCAAAATATTCCATTGTTTCAAATCCATGCTGATTTAAGCGGCGCTTAACATGCTTTTAAATTAGAAATATCCAATAGTATCTAACTATTACCAATAGAGAACGATTTGGAAATATATATTGATGTAAAATGGCACATAAAGTATTGCTTAAGTGCACTTGTCCTTTACGACGACAACAACAACGACGACAACGACGACAGACAACGGACAAATTTTGGTAAGAAAAGCTCACTTGAGCCTTTGGTTCAGGTGAGCTAAAAAGAGATTGAATGTGATAATTTTGATAGGATGATAAATATATATTTAAATTAAGTTATACAAATACTTTATAGTGCAACATTGCAGTTTCAGATATATATTTATTTTTCAATGATGACAATATCAAAATTTCATTAGTTAATCATTGGTATCAATATAATCATATGCATGTTGTAAAGCGGATTATGAGAGAATGTGTTAGGGAAAAATATAATTTCATATGAAAAACTGTATTATTTATTCTGGTATTATGTAAATATAGTGAAGCCAGCTGCAGGGCCCTTACCTTGGCACTAAGGCATTCTTCTATGACATGTGATGGGATAATAACAAATTAAAAAAAAAGTTTGTATTTTTTTCATTATATAAAAACATGACGTAGCGATGGGATAACAACCTTGTTAGGGAAAAAGATTTTCCAATGCAAAAGCCATCCTTTGTTGTTGATATGTAGCAAAACTAACCCGAAAGCATATTTCATCTATAAAATTTTTAGAATCTTGTGACTTAGTTTAATGTGACCAAAAACAAATATCTTTACCGTATGAAAAAATCAACACTTCTTAAAGTAAATTAAGTTTTATCTGAAATGAGTTTAAAATGCATCTCTTTCCGAAGTTAAAAATTACGTATAGTATTGAAATGTTTATGACAACTAGTGTATAATTTAAGTGTAGTGTTACGAAAATATAGCGTGCAAGGTAAAAGCATAGGAACTACACTCCATGCATTCGTGTTTATACAAGTACATGTTTTCGAGTAATTGAAAAAGGTCTAAAATACATTTTTCAACTGTTTTTGAGTTGGATAAATCGTCATTCGGAACGTCATATTTATGCTCCACCATGAATATGTATATAGTGTTTGTCGTGTCCATCTTTCGTCCTTCCGTCCTTACGTCCTTTTTTCTGTCCTTTCATCGAGGATTGGATTTAGCTAATTTTAAAGCTCAGCTTCAAAGAAACCATTCAAGACGTTTTATATTAAACTTGGTTTGCTGATACATATTGAGAATCACAGTTGCATATAAGTCTTTTAACTATGACCTTTCGTTTGACATTGACTGCAATTTTCATATAAGTATTTTTCTCAGTTTTACAAAAAGCATTCAGGATATTGTTATCAATTTTCATTCGCTTATAAATGTACTGTATACTAGTGTTAGCATTTAAACTTTTTTAATATTGCCTATTTTTTCTTTGACTATGACAACAGTTATTTTAATCTGATGTTTAGCTCAGTTTTAAATAAACCATTTATTAAGAAATAAACGACAATAATTATTCAAAATATCACTGGGAAATGCACTTAGTTGATCACGTGATCAAATCCTGTAAAGCCCGATGGGCTTCTCAGTAGATTTGATTACGTATCAACTAAGTTAATTTTTTTTCCAAGTTTACTTTTTACATTGTTGTTTACGACTTATATTTACATTTGAGATACATTAATTTTGAGTAAAAATGTAAACTGCATTTATTACACGAACGGGTCACCGTATTGTTATGTTGTAACGCACAACGACCTAGAAGTCATTTGATCTTGAAAATTTGTCTAGCTCCAACATTTGAATATTTACAAATATATTCAGAAGTCCACATGAGAAAATCTTTGCCTATAATGTAAAAACAATGATCCATACTGAGAACTAATCTTACTTTATTATGGATCCTTAATATCAATCTCTCACCAGAGGGCGCGCTCCGCCTACACGTGTTGGAGCGATGAGCGTAAAACGCCCTCTGGTGAGAGATTGCCTTAATATATTTAAAGTCAAAAGCGGTGAAATCTCCTGTTTTAGTTTATATAACGACTGACCTCATAGGAATTTCTGGTTAAAAGGGTGAATGCGATTTTAGATTAATTATAGTATTTCAAACATTATTCACAACCAAGGAAAGTCTATTTAACATTTATTGAAAGAAAAATATATTTATGTTTCAGTTATTTTATCTATTTCATCGCATTTAACTTAGTATATAATATATGTTAACAAGATAATATCTGGCCCTGCTATTCGAATTCAGTCGCGCTATGACCTTTGAACCCCAGGTAAAGTTCATATAGAATTAAACATATTTTCTCTTCATCAGTTTCATCTAAGAAAACTATTGGCAAATGTAAATATTATACTGTAATCAAATTTCATGTTGTGAAACAAATATATGAGATATTCAACTCCATCAACATTTTCGGACCTAGGCATTTCTTGACCTCATTTAAAAACATAGTGTTTAGAACGGTTATAAAGAAATTATTAAAGATATTTTTTCAATCCACATTTCCTCACACATATTAATGGGGAATATATTGAACAGCAATAACAGTTTTGGACTTAAGTCATTCTTGTTACTCTGTCTTTACTTTTTTTCCTAAAATTAATGTTAAGCTCAGAAATTCATTATTTTTATCCAGCCTAAAATTCTTATACATATTAGGGAGAGGTAATCAGCTGCATTAGAATTTCAATTTCAGTTTTAAAATAACTATTCAAGATATTCTCATCAACATCATGCATCATGCACATGTAAAATTGTTCATGATGCATTACTATATACACACTGTACATGTTCTATGCATACTTTGTGATTTAACGATAATTCAATATTTTCTTAATCTTTGATTACTTATACTCAGAAATTAATCTGAATAATATAACGTATCTCTGATTATTTTTCTGTGTACGCCATCATAATTCATTGAAAAAAAAGAGGTCATCGGTGCCTTATGGAGTCCCTTTTTCATGGGACAGATCATCTATTTTTTAAAATATTTCTTGTGAACCTGTTTCTATTTCATAGAATTTTTCATAAGAATTCTGAAAAAATTTCAGACATGATTTATAATGCTGAATAAATCTGCAACCAAAATTTCTTGAAATTATATTGATTACATGTATGAACGTATATACTGGTATATAACTTACACCAAAGTTGGTAAGTGGAGTGGGAGTGTGACATCAATGACGTGGATTTTGTTTATTTTTAAACAATACAAATCTGAAATAACGAGAACAATATTATAACAATAAAGCAATGACAAAATATGTATTAATATACTTTTTTCAATGCAGTGTTCAAACATGTAGCAAATTTTATTATTGGCAATTTTTCATTTCAAATAAAAGTTTATTGATGTTTTAACTCACTATTTGTGATTTTTAAACTTCAAAGTATAATTAATCGCGATTGAATTGTTTTTAAAAAAACAATTCGGAATGCAGTATAAAATTAAAACAAAGCTAGTAATACAGATACTAAAAATAGTTTAATGGATTAAGCTTTTCAGTGAATACAACTTGTCAAAATTATCTTTCTTCAGGAAAAAAATGTATCATGAAATAAATATAATGACATGATACACGTATACATTAAAGAAATCATGAATCGTTTAAATGGCTGAAAATTTTAATTAGATGCCTTCAAGAGACAGTAATACATGCACTAAGGTGTTTGCCTCTAAACACACCCCCCCCCCCCCCCCCCCCACACACACACACATATTGGGCGTTGAAAGGAAAAAGTCAAATTAATTCTATAATTTACACAGTACACGTATTTGTCAAATTGAGTATGAAATTCTAAGACCCTGTGACTGTGTGATCTATGACTCAGAGCCTCTTATATGTATTTGATATGCTTAATTCATTGCCAGTCTGAAAAAACAGAATTTAATTAATGATGTAAATAAGAATTTGATAAATGTTTTGCTCATAATTGGAACTTTTTTAAATTTACTTATCACCCCCGGGTACCCACCCACCCACATACACACACATCATCACGATACGTACGTTTTTTTTTTTTGTTTGTTTTTTTAAGGCTAGATGGAAAAATTATGTGAACACATCGTTTGTTATGAATTATATGTGTATTTTAAAATTTGTTCTTGAACTAGACATGTTTACATGTAAACACCTTTTGGAAAATTTCTACATCACATTGGTTTGCGTCACCCATTATCATATTTTTAGATTAAGCACCACTCGGCACACCTCGGCCAATTCGTACTTCATATGATTTAGGCGACGGAATCAGTCAAGGTTTACCGAATGGGATAGCACATGGTGTGTGTGGCGTTTACTGAAATAATTCATTTTGTGTTATACTTGGATTATATTTCATGAAGTTGACAGGACCCATTTTAGTCAGTAAGTACAAGTTTAAATATAGACTGGGGTAAAATAAACCGAAATGTAAATGATTAGGTTTAAGTTCAAAAAGGGTCAAAGATCATCGCGTGCCACAGTAGACGAATTTCACATTGTGAAATTATCTCCCGTTGTCGATGTGACATTCAGTTAAGGGTGCAGATCCAGAATGTTTTTTTAGGAGGGGGGTTCACACCTCAGTCCAAAAAATCCAGCCCAGAATTTGCTGACAACCAAAGAAAAACATTTGCAAGCAAATAAACAAAATAAAAACAATCGTGGGTTCAATGATTTATAAGGGGGAGGATGCCCAAAGTCATTTTTATTTGTTTCACTATATAGTCTTATTTAAATAACAAAGAAAATTCCAGGAGGGAATCCAATCTCCCTAGCCACTCCCTGTCCCTGAAATTACAATTGATATTGTGACTCCTATATAGTAGATTTTTTTCCGATTTGGCTATATACATATTTTGTTTAAATTATGTTTGTCTGTCTGTTTGTCCGCAGTGACTTTAACCTTGCCCATACAGGGTCTCCACAAGGGGTTTTACCATGGAGGCCCGCCATGGTTAAATTTATGTGCACCATGGTTAAACGAGCTGCGCCATGGTTAAAATCGGCATCTGCCATGATTAAATTTTTCTGCATTTCAGTTCTGACACCTACCTTTTTAATGACTTGAGCAGTTAATTGTGTTTATACTACGACTGCTGTGCACCTGGAATGCTGACTGTGCTAAACAAACACGTCGTTATAGAATCAGACTATGCTGTGAAGAGTGACAATCAATGGAGAGTCAATCAAATGATCAATATTTTGAGAGTTAATTATCCTGTACACATGTAAATAATTTTCGGAAACTTCAACATGTTCACTACATGATTAGATATACAGTCAATTCTCGAATTATCGCCATTCGATTCATCGCCATTTTCGCTATACCGCCATGATTTCCCAAGAACGTTTTTCCTGCTATATAAAATTCTCTTTATAACGCCAAATTCGCATACCGCCATCCGCCACCCTGTTTTCAAAACAAACGTCCATTTTTAAGTGTCAATTATCTCGATATACCGCCACAGGTGCGTGCGGTCAGTGAAGCGCGGCTAATTGGTTGATGCTGTCCCTGTTGTAAAGCATGCAAAGCCAGACATGGTACACGCAATTAAATAATTGAATTAGAATTAAATGAACAAATAATTTTAATATGAACTGTTACAATGATTCTGTTCTGTTGTTTTGTTTAAGAAATCATTTAGTCACGGCTTCGCCACGAAAGCGGTAGTTGTAAAAGTACGCCGATTACGATATTTTTTTTTTTGATGATCTCAGTGCTTTAAACAATGCAAAGTTTGCTTAAAAATAATTATACGGTATAAATTGTTAATGTTTCACGAATAATGATGCCATAAACAATAAATTTATTCAAGAAAATATTTTACGTACTGTCAGCAATATATCACGACGATCGACCCAGCATGTTTTTTTCAATATCAGACGTGCCGATTTACATGTACATAAATGCACATGTACATGTCTTTATTTCATAACTGCACATTTTGTTTTAAAGAAATTGTATATAAAAAATTACTTGAAGTATTTAAAATTTAGGAATATGTTGTATATACATGTACATGTAATTATAAGAATAGAAACGCTTCATGGTATTTCTAAGAACGGTAACTCTACTTCTTGTTTCCTAAAATATGGGAAATTCAAATCATCGCCAAATTCGTTATACCGCCATGATTTCTAAATTACAAAAGGTGGCGGTTTATCGAGAATTAACTGTATAACGGGTATTACGAACACAATAATCGTTTGCTTGCGATTCAAGTTTCTGTGCCAGAAAAAAATACTCTGTAAAAATTTCATATTCCTCTGTATTTAATCAATATCCCATGCTCTGTTTTTTAAGGGGGATGTACAAGCCATATTGTGTCTAGTCTGGTGTAAAATAAGAAATACCAAGAATGCGCTCAATACTCTACTAAACTAGCCCAAAGTTACTCAAAGTGCTAAGGCACTAATAACCTACTGTTAGAGACCAAAATTAGTAAACAATTAAGTTTATTTTGTTTTAATTAGGAGGAAATTAATCATGTTAGAACTGCGCAGCTACAGCATTCACGAGATGATAAATGCATTGAAAATGGTGTAAGTTTGATTCATTGATACATGTAGTATGGCTACAACCATTTGTTTCGCTTTTTTCTTGTCATTATCCATAATTCTTGAAAATTTGATTTTTCATATGGGTGTCTTCCTGAGGCCATGTGTTTATTTCGTCCGCCATTCCTCTGCCACACCGAGTTCGAATAACATTGATTTTAGAATAAATGCGACCATAATAACATCAATACAAGAAATTACTAAGTAATAATCATTAGGTTATATTGCTTCTTACTTTTATTTGTTGCATCACATTGTCTGATTAATGAAAAAACGAGATTTTATTAACCCAACTCCAGCAAATCGGGAAAAACTGTTCTGTTTACAGCTCGAGTTTCCTCGTTAATATTATTCCACTGAGCACGTGGTCAGCATGTGCATATATCTGCTGTGGATAGATCCATTTATTACCATGATTATATTTAATTTTTCATGGACTAAGTCTTGATAATTTGTTGGTTTCTTTAAAACTCAAGAAGAAAAAAATGTTCTAAACATATGGGTTTACGGCGGGTCTTTTTTCTGTGGCGATAGAAGTTTTTTTTTCAAATGGGGCAATGCAGGGAGCATGCTTAGCATTTAATTTGAAAATGTTAAACAATATGCGGTGCATGAAAAACAAATTGTATTTACATGTCTTACATTCGAAAAGTTGGTACATATGTCTATTTTGTTTAGAAGTTAGAAGCTTGATAAAATATAATGAGTAGTTTCTATTTGAAACTTAGAAGCGAGCACGATGTTTGCAAAGGAAGGTCCATTGCACATGCTATGTCTATCATCGCAAAAAAAGTGGGTGGCTACCCCCCCCCCCCCCCCCACACACACACACACCACCCACCCCCACCCCCAACACCGAAAATCCTATATATATTTTGTTTTTCAAAAAAGATCAAACAAATTGTGATGGAACATGTCCTAGCCTTATAAGACCACTTGTTATAAAAATATTTAGTTGCCCTCTCTCCCGATCTACTGCCTAGAAATGGCCCGACTCTTTTTTTTTTTACATTCTACACCCCTACTAATGTGTTCGGAACCTTTTATTTTTCGGTGTTCTGCAAATTTTAAAACCCGATGAGTTCAGAGTAGCTCTGGCAGTGGCTCTGGCGAGAGTTAGCGAGACTTCAGCGAGATAGGGTAAATTATTCACGGAAATGTGGCTAGGAAGTGACTAGCACGTGGAGGCATGGTAAACAGAAAAGTTATGTTGCGTTTCAGTTTTCACCACCCTAGAATCAGCTGATAATGTCTGTAGAAATGTACCTCAATCAATCAATCTCCCCGACATTCATTAAAACTTAAATAAGTTTTCTCTGTAATACAATTTTCTGCAGTCATGAATTAAAATTTCTTTTTGGATAAATATTTTTTTATGGGAACCGGGACTTTATTTTTTGGCGTTAGATTAGCAAATGTGGCACCAGCATGATTTTAACTGACCAATCAGCTGAATGAGTATTGCATTATGGGTTACTACGAATACTACAGGAATTTTACGCTTAAAAAAGGAAAAACTTATGGTAAATGAAAAACATTTTTAAAAATATTATTTTCATGCTCATAATGACAAACAATTCATTTGTTAAATAAACGGCGGAAGTCTAGGTATCTGAAAGTCATACTCCAAAGGCATTTTCGTCTGTATTCCTCTGTTGTACTATCGGTGAATAC